AGATTTTATGAAGGAAAATCTGACATTTGCCTTTCTGTTGACAAATATGACCAGAAACCTCACTTACGTACGTTACTTAACGTACAACTCAGAGTCAACACACACATAACACTGAGTTGCTATCAGCTTGTTGTTTTAATAAATAGGGTGTCTTTTTGTATACAAATAATCATAAAACTATTGAACAAAATGACAAAGCATTTTTCTTGTAAAATACTTTTCCTATTTCTCTAATTTACCAAAATAGACATAAATGGAAGTTTTGCATGCAACAGACTTGTTATTTATTCCTAACATAAACCTATTATATCATCAAACCTACTTTCACATTCTTTTTAAGACAGGATGCAAATTCTCTTGGTTATTTAAATGCAGGGTGGAAGGTAAAATAAATAGTTCCCAAGAGAGCTAGAAAAAAAAAAAAAAACCAAACAAAAAAACCCCACACACATTTCCTTGCTTTCAGTCTTTGGCTCTGATTAAGAAAATGCAATATGCGATGAGCTGTTCCAGATTTGCTGGCTTGAAGAACCTCAGTGCAGACTGCATTTACAGTTTATATGAAACAATTGGCAAGGCAATATATTTTATCCTCAAATATGTTTACTTGTACAACAATCGTTAGTTTACTTACAAAATACAGCCTATCAACTCCAGTTTTGCAGCTTGGCCTATGCAAGTAGGCTCCTACTCCCAGCTACACAAAACAGCACAACAAATGGCATATTTAAAAAAAGGATATTCAAAAATCATAACAAGGCTATCAACAATAAGCCATAGCCATACCACAGTTAAGCTCATCACATGCAAGTTTTCCTTATGTCCCTTTATACCTGGATAGGAGTGTACTGAAATTTTGACAGATCTGAAATGGTTGCACAACTTTGGATCTATTTTTAGATTTTGAAAGTTAACTTATAAAAGATAGAAATTTACCATGTTGGAAAAGCATTTAAGGAAGAAAAAAAAAAAAAAAAAAGCTATCTTTCAGTGTTGTTCCAAGACCTGACTGCAATTTTCATACATTATTTAATAAGAGTAGCTATAGCAATAATTTTGCTTTTTTCAAACAATTTAAAAATATTCTCAGTGAAGAAAAGACTTTCCCAATCTGCTACTACCAGAGAATTCTAAATAGAAAAAAGGACTTTAATTTTTTTTAAAGTCAGTTTTATAGACATTTTTGAACAATAGTTCTATATGCCAACCAAAAATTCTGGAGTAGATATACTAAAAGACTCACACCTATCCAGGAAAGGATTTTATGGGCATATGAACTGTAGAAAGAAGCAAAAGAATGATCCCTCCCAGGTTCTGGCAAAGGATATGTGAGCCAACCACAGCTCACACGGATACAGCTTCAGACAGGTCATTCAGTGCCGTGGCCTTTTTCCCTAGACAGGGGCTGGTAATGCAGCACCTGAAGCACCCACTGAAGCAGCGTAGAGCTGCTGCAGCCCTGCCAGCTGTCAGGGAAAGCACATGGACATTATGGTTCCCTAACCCCATCTCTACGCTCAAGTCAGTGGTCCTTTTTTGAGCCTTTCAGAGGTGAGGCTTCACTGGAATGCTATATTAAAAGGCTCAGTTTCCTGGATGTTAATTGTCCTCACTACCACACTATGACAGACCTCAACATCTTTATGAGGCAGGCATAAACCCAGGTTTTGCCAATAAGCAGCCTGACGCAGAGACACCTGAAATAGCTGGAAGTTATGGATAAATTTGTATATACCACTGCAATAATGAGAAAAAAATATAAATCTCTGCTTAGCTGAAAAATCATTACATGTTAAGATACCTGACCCCGGAAATTGAAGTGTGGTAATGTGGCCACCAGAGCTTGAAGGATCTAGCAAAAGTTACACAGCAACTCTGTGGCAGACCTAGAAAACAAACCCTTTGTTTCTTAGGTGAAGTCCTGACTTCTAGATGGATACTTACAAGCCTGGAAAGAGAGGAAATCTCTAAAAACATTAACTCTCACAAATAGATCAAGGCCAAGTGTAAGAGTTTCCTAAATTATGTCTAGCACAGCAATCATTTCTACTGCTTGTTTCTGTCAGGTCACTAGTATTTGTGGTCAGCAAGAAACATTAAAAGACGAGAAATGTTCCATTTTTACTGTCCCTAGTGAAAAGCCGCTAAAATCAAATCCTTCCATCTCTTCTCCTGATCTTTGTAACAAAAACCTGAATGATTCACAGATGGTGACTTACAACTAATAATACCGTAGTCAGTTGCCACCCTCACTACATAATGGAAGTACTAACCCAGGTAGGCTACTACTGGTCGAGTTACACCCAGATTGTTTCTAGATTACATCTGCAATCCGAAGTACTAAGGTTCATTATTCAGTGGATGAAATAAGCCTTTACAAGAGGCATTTCAATTTACACTGGTTTTATTATAAGAACCCTTAACTTCAATACAGTGCTTAGAAAGAATTAGCATGAACAAACAAGACACAAACAAATAAGTTGGATCTTAAGTATCTTTTTTTTTGTTCAGAAATCCATTCTTTTCCTTTCAGTTACTTAGATATTTCTTACAGACAATTTAGCTGTCTTCCTTGAATACCACTGTTGGACATTTGCCAATACTCCTCAAGGAAAAACTCTCTACAAGCCAGAAGCTGAAGAGGCCAAGATTCTTCTGTGCGAAATGTAAATGCCTGCTGAAGTGCCACCACTTAAATCAGGCCAACCCAGTTAAGTAGCAAAAATACACAACCTAACACCACAGCAGTAGAAGAGTACTTATCATCATCTTAGTAATAGAAACAAATGTACCATCACAGAGTGCTTCACTCCCCTGCCACTGGATCTGCTCTGAAGTTCCACACAGCAAAATTACATTGCCCAAGCAAATAAATAAACAAATAAATAAATACTACTTCCACTGCTGAATAGCGGCTAAAGACCTTTAGATGCAACCCTCTCCTCCTCACATCCTAACAAGAAGTGGGGGGGGAAGGTTCCACCCTCTTTAAGGTCAGGTCACATTCTGTGATTAGTAAACAGAGTGAAGTAGGGTTTTATAAAAACCACAGCACAAGAATAATAAATAAAATAATCGCCATGGCATTCAGGGTTCCCTCTTCAGTAAAATATTGCAACAGAATCCACAAGCAGATTTGCCACATGGATCTTAAAAACTCCTTAAGAACATAACAGTAACTACTTGCTTAGCTGTTCTCAGTTAAACAAGGCTGCTTTGGCATCATGCTCAAACTCTCAAACTAACCCCAGAAAAAAAGAGGGGAAGCTCTCCTGGCCTGTTACACTCTCTGCATCCTCAGCTGCACTGCTAGAGCACGGCACACTGCAACTGCTTGCTCTCTACCAATGGCAACAGCTGTGTAGAAGTAGCCAAGATGAAAAATTTACTAACACAGTTACTATGTAGCCATAGTCAAAAAGAAGTGCAATCCTCACCGACTAAATCCAATGCAGTAACATCCTAATATGAAATCTACCACTTCCAAACATAAGCCCTTCCTCAAGTTACAGATACTAAAGTCAGACTTTGCTTCTCTCATTTCAATAAATACAAAGTTTTGTATTCTCCAGCTACAGACAGAAAAAGAGAACTTCTTTCTCTCCTGAATCCTTTAAAGGTTCTGAGCCAGAGGGAATAAAGAGGAGAAGAAAGACTGTGCTCTAAGTATCATATTTGGAGTATTATCCCCTTGTGACTGAACTGAGTCTCTGCATCTGCCACAGATATTAGCCTTCTCCAAATAGCAGCTGAAGCAATATGGAACAGACTTGGTCCCTAGATAATTTCCCAACTACTCATATGGTTCTGCATAGCAGCCATGAAAAAGAATAATTCTTGGTAATTTAATTCTGCTGTTGGTTGAAAACTTATGACCCAAAGCAGAACGTTGGACGTGTCTCTAGATTCAGGACAACATTGCAAACTCAAAAAGACAAAGCTTTTTGAGATTTATTTCCCTTTTATTTTTCCAGAAGACATCAATCCTTCCAAAAGAGCTGGAGATTACTCCCCCTTGCTTTTTCAAAAAAGTCACAGATTTTGCAGAAATTATTAAATCCTCCTCATCTGCAATTGCAAACCTTAGGTTTAAAACCTCTAGTCAAACTGCAGCTCAAATCCAATATTCACTGATAATACAGAAGAAGACATTTCCATATGCATAGTCCTAACAGTACAGAAAACATGCCAAAATGGAAATTAAACTACAGCATGATTAATGACAGCAGATTATTCTGTATATGAGAGCAAGCAAGAAAGCATCCACTGAATTCTCTGGGAAAAAATACAACCCATCTCTTGGACATAGCCAATCGTTCTCCCACAAACAAAGAGGAGCATCAACATAACCTAAAGAAAACTGCAGGTTTTTTTACTGCCAACTTTTTGTTTTGTTCTGATATTTCTGAGAGCAGGGCTGAGACAGAAGATCTGGAGGCTTTCATTTTAGTAACTCAAAACTCTATATAGGAATCTGCATTGGGAATCAAGCCAGACATGAAGAGCACACATTCCAGTCTGAAACAGAAGACAGTGATAGACACTTCCCAGGGAACTAATGTGTTAAGCTTTATGTTTTCCACTTCTTTTTTTTAAGTTCTCTGTCAGTAATCAGTCTCTGTTTCAGATAAAAGGTGAATATGTGGATGTGGACTGACATCACTGTGCAAAAATCTCTATATATGCAAGCTATCAGTTCCTTACTTAAATAAGCTTTAGTAATCTCCTCACACAGCTTTCCTTAATTAAATGTATCTAGGAAGAATTTCTTTAAGAAGAAAAGGATGTCTGTGCAAATTGATGCGTAAATATTGGACATAATACATATATCCCTATACTTGCCTAAGAGGACAATGATATTTTTGAATTTTGTTTCTTATTCCTGCTGTGCCTTTACAGTTACACAGACTCTAGCTTTATTTCTAGAAACAAGGAAGGTTTATATTTTGTCATTTTAAAGGTCTTAACTTAATCTGCCTTTAGGTTTCCACGTACTATACCTTTTTTGTTGGTTCTAATAATTGTCTCAGACAACAGTAAAGGGCTTCCATTGGAAACTTCATTTATAGGCTTCTCTGGTGGTTTGTTGGCAGTATTTTCTTTCTTCATGTCCTTCTTTATTTCCTGCAAAAGAAAAGGCAGGTGGAGAGAGAGAAGAAAAAGAAGCAGTCAAAAAAACGTATTATATTCTAAATCTCAAGCTCCCAAGATTTCTTAAAACTTTTATGTACACACCCCTGCCTACTCTAATGCTTCCCCAAAGCCTCTTTTATATGTTGAAATGCCACAAAATCAAAGTAATTTTCAGTAATTCTTCCAACAGATTTTTTTTTCTTTTTAGAAGAGGTTAATTCCTTATTTATCTGTGAAAATTATAGGACAGCTTTGCAAATCTCTTACTAAAAAGATCACCAAGCTCAAAGGTGGGGGAGGGAAAAAAGCCCCACAACTTCTCCATTTATCCCTCAATCAGCTGTAAATTTGACACACAGGACAGAACTGGGTACAGTGCTCCTGATGTCAAGGCGGCTAAGTCTGCTTCCCCTCTGTCAAGAAGCCCACAGAAACAAGAACCAAAACAGGAAGAAAATTAACTAGGAAAATATGACAAATGTTACCATAATTGGCAGAAACACACAGAGAGCCTGCTGTCAAAGCCCTTGCTAACACTAACACATTTTGCAGCTGACTACCTTTTAAGGTGATCGACTTCTTTGATGGCACACAGTGAAAATATCTATGGTGGGGTTTCATGAAAGCAAACCCACAGAAAACAGCTTACCAATACTTCACAGTTAATGCTTGAGAAGATGTGCAATACCCCTCTATCAGCTTCTTAAGCAGACTTGAAAAGCCTAACTGCTTCACTGCCTACACCTACTTTGCCAAAATATCATAGCCTTTCATAGATCTTGAAACACCACTGGCGTAGACAAGTAGCACTACCTCCACTTTATAGACAGGTACAAATGCACTAAAGACGCTAAACCATTTGCTTATAAGTATGTACCCAAACATAAGTTAAGTTTTGGATCCAAGCTTTGTCCTAGCTCATGTTTGCAGAGCTACTCGAGATGAGAAGGACTTCAGAAAGTCTCTACTCCAATCTCCAGCTCGAAGTAGGGTCACTTCTGGAGTCAGACCAGGCTGTTCAAGGCCGTTTGCCCAGTTTGGTCTCAAAAATTTCCAAGGGCAGAGACCACACAAGCTCACAAACAACCTGCTCCTCTGCTTCAATGTCCTTATAGTGACAAAAATTTCCTTGTACCCAGCCTGAAACTGTCTTTTCTAGTCAATCTGCTCTATCTCATCCTCCTCACCAGGCATCACTGGAAACGGCTTGGCTCTGTCTTCCCAAAAACCTCCTTGTATGTACTAGAAGGTCCCCCCTAAGCTGCTTCTTCTCCAGGCTGAACAAGCCCACCTCCCTCAGCATCTCCTCACATGGCATGTGTTTCAGCTTCCACAGCCACAGAACCACATCCAGTTTATCAGTGTTTTACACAAAATCTACATCCCACCCACAAAATGGGATGCTGTATTCTGGATGCGGACTAATGCATGCCAGGCAAAGGAGGATTATAACTTCCCTCAAACTGCGTGTGATTAATGCAGCCCAGGATGCTGTTGGCTGTGTTTGATGCCAGGGTACAAGACTGGCTCATGTTTAGCTTGCTGCTCACCAGGACCCAAAGGTCCTTTCCAGTAGAGTTGTTCCCAAAACCATCAGGACTGTAAGTCTGCCAGCAATTCCTCATTGCTGGTGACAGAACTGGTATTTGTCCTTGCTGAATTTCATCAGACTCCTGTCCAAGTCCCTCTGAACATCAGCCCTGCCTGCAAGCTTCCCAACTGGTCCCCCAGTTTGGTGTCATCTGTAAATTTGATGAGCTCTTCTACACTGAGCAGGCACCGGGGACAGGTGATGGCTTCAGAAAAACTCTCCTCCTTGTGAAAATCCTCTACCTCTCCTCCCTTTCAAATCTCATACATTCACTGCCCTCTTATACATCCCAGTGCAGTACCAACCTCCACTATCCCACAGCAGCACCCTACCACACACAGGAAATACTGCAGATCTTATTTAGGTTTCCAGCATATCAGACATAAGCACTAGACCACAGAAAGCAAATTTCTATTTGAAGTTTCTCAAGCTGTTACCTGAGAACAGCATGAGGCAAAACAAGAATTCCCAAGTCACTCTCTATAAGATACACTTTAAACCTAAATTTCCTAATTGCTTTTCTTTTAACTGTTTATTTCCTCAGTCCAATTGGTATTTCAAAGCTGAACTATTAGCTACACAAGATTAGTACAGTCATCTCTATGTGCAAAAGGCATTTACTGTGTATCAGTGTTCCATCAGCAGAGATAAAAGTTTTATATACTGCTGCCTGAGGGTACAATGAATCTTTCATCTAATGCCATCACATCACTAGAACAGTATCTAAAACCCAACTCATCACAGTAACCCCCATAACTGAAATAACAAATGTGAACGAATATGTGTAAGAAAGGTGGCTGTGTCTGTGATAGATCTGCTGTTGTTAGAAGAAGAAATACTGCATGCAGCTCTTGTATAAAAGTGAACAGCCTGATAATTTAAGAATACTGCATGCAATTAGAAGAAAACGTATCACCTTCTGAAACAATGGACTAAACTAATACATACATTATTCACAAGCTCTTTTTCACAGCCTTAAAAATTAAAATATATAATTAACGAGTCCATCCAAAGCTTGTTTATTGAAGCTTTAAATTTATTTTACAGCTAGGTGACAAACTAGGTGAAAAACTTAGCGAACTTTGAAATAGAGTTCTCCAAAGAAACACAAAATTCTAGACAATAATGCATGCTGGTTTTATTTTTATTTTCTCTAATCAAATCCTACATCAGTATGAGCCACAGAAAACTTTTTAGACATTTTCTATATGCTTATGAACTTTACAATGTGACAAAATATAAAACAACAACAAATTATATAACGTGCTGAAACTCTATTCACATAGCAAAATACAACATATTCCAGTGTACCTGTACTCTAGTAAATGGCTATTTCAAGCTATAAAATCTAGAAATTAAGTGTATTTCGTATTTTTAATGTCAAAACCTGTTACTCACTGACATGACACACGTCTTTGTCAAGCTGGAGAGATACAAAAAGAGTGGTTAACAATTTTCAAAGAGAAAAGTCTTTGGCTCATCGGCCATTTTTCTGCTGTGGGGTTGTTGTGTTTGTGTGTGTTTGGTTTGGTTGGGGCTTTTTTGTTTGTTTGTTTTATTTTGTTTTCCCCCAAGACCTAGCTTTGTTCTCAGTATTTCACCACTCATCTTTCAAAGAAAAAGTGTTCTATCTGTGTGTCTACTCGCTGAAGTTTCTGCTCACCTACGAAAAAAAACTTAATTTATAGTGAATGCTTGAATTAGGTCAGCCACAAAAGTTACAGTTAGTATCTGTTACCAAGTCTGAAGGAAAGAACAAGAACTTCTGCCACTGTCACTACACCAAAGTTTCAAGATTTTTTTACTCTAGCAGTTCTGACCTTCACAGGAAACTCAGCTGAAAAAAACTGAGTAAATTGCTGCAACCCTTTCCACGACTGTAACTGCAACAAAATGCTATTCTGTGCTGGTCCAGCCAACGTTTCATTCCTTGTAGTTGTTGAGAGCCATAAAAAAATTATGAGAAAAATCCTTACCGGACTACAAGGTTGATTTATTTATGCCTTCCACATGCAAAGGGAAAAACAGTTCTTGTATATTGGAACCAAGACGTTTAATCCTGCATACTGGAAGAGCCAAAAATCTACAGCCAAAATCTACAAGCAATCTACATTGCTTGAAGCCAAGTGTGGGAGCAGGAGTAAAAACCCAGAATCTCATGTAGCTGTGGAGAACCAACCATGCAACACATTTGAACTATGAAAAGATGACAACAGAAAATTCAGGAGTACTTTGACCTCTCTGAGATAGAGAATGCTTTTCCTTTAATCTCTTCTCCAAATCCATACTTTACCATTTCAAGAGACAACTACCATCATGATTTCCTGCAGTGTCTACAGCTTAAAAAAATACATTCATTCAATTACCCATTTATATTAAAATCTCAAAATGTTAACTCTGCTACAGAGTACATCAATGAAATATTTAGTTCTCCTGTGACATTTTCTGTAAAACTAGAAGACTTATTGAATAATTATAAAAGTCCTTAGATATAAATGCAACTCTAATATTGTTAGGACTCGTAGTTCTACTATGAAATAAACAACATATCCATCAGTGAGGTTAGAACAAAACTTCCCAGCAACTGAACTAGCACCAATGTGACAATTATTTTCAACTGGAAAGATGGTGGCAGCACTAAAATGCCTTCATGGCACAGGCCTTAAACTCCATAAAAAGCAAAATGGTGGTGTTTGAGAGACAGTAAAGAAACCACCTAGCTTTTATTTTTTCAGCTTCTGCATCACTTGACATTTACTAGTCCTTGGCTTCTTCTTCCTCGGGCACTACCAGCTCCAAACAGAGGCAGAACATAGAGCCTTCAACCACTGTGATCAAGACTAAGATCTCTCCATTAGCTGATCATGACAGGAAACATTTATCAGTGGCTCTGTCATCATGTAGAGTGGGAAGGACTGCTTGGAGAGCATACTTCCCCAGCCATGACCCCAGCTTCTAGCAGCTATGCAGATCCCACACTGCTACTGCACACAACATCTGAGCTTATGACAAAAGATACGCTCTTATTTCACTACAACAGGATTCCACATCCTCTCCCCTCTTTCAAGATCAGTTTATTCCGAATTTGTAGGAAATATGTTCCCAACTGCATGTCAGGCATGTGACATAACCTGGGGGAACAGGGGGGCAGGGGGAAAGGAGTTACAGGTCACGAGCCTCCTGGTTTGTGCTAGGACTGCTTACTTCATAGTTCTGGGGTTATTTCTAAACCACAGCATTCTAAGCCTCTCTCAAAGAGTTCTTTGGTTTCTGTATCTAGCCTTCAAAATCAAGTCTATTTCTGTGGCTCACATGACTTCTATCTGATTTAGGGCCTGAGAGAGAAAAGCAGTATTTGTTCACCAAGTTTCACGTGCTGAACAGCGCATCTATT